ATGAATGTTGAAATGATAGTATACATTTAATAATGAAATTTTCACTTCATATTCTTATTTTAAAATAACCTTCACTTGATACATTACCCAAATAGCGAGCTATCTTAATGCGTTCACGAAAAGTAAAAAACAAATGTGATTTATTGAATTATGAAGAACATTGAAATATCGCAGTGAAAATGGAAAGTAAAAGCGGAAAGGAAATGCAGTTATCAAATTGACTGCTATAAATGATTTATTTAACGAAACGAGAAAACCGGTGACTTATCAGAAGCTATTTACGGAGGCCATTGTCACTGGCGTTGCGCAAGGAACACGTTCCGCGGCGTACAAACGAGAAATCGATTTGTATTTCGCCTTTCACGCTGACCTGTTTCGCCGGGCGAAGAATTCGCTCGGTCTCTCTGTGGACCGTCGCGTTCTTCTCCCAAGAGGAATAAGTACGAACGCGTTTCGCTCGAACGCTCATCCGACCACGGATCCTCTTCTCTCTGCGAAGGTCGAGGATGAACGGCGCGCATCCATGCGTGCCAAATTCGCCTATACTAATCGCGATCCCATGTGCAAGAAGTTGTTAACTTGAACGAGGAAAGGAAAAGAGAAGAGTATAAATTCCTAATCATGGCCTCTTGCAATTACGATAAATTTGATATTTAATGGTTGTTACTTTTACTTATGCAGAATAAATGCACATACAGAACAATTATTTAACTGGTCGATGATTTCATTCTAAAGCCTGACAAATTTAATTTATTTAAATACACGATTTAATTAAACACGTTATTATAAATAACAAAAGAAAATAAAATTCGTTAATGTAGCGTTACTAATTTCGTTTCATTGAGAGAACTTACTTGGAGCGGATCTGCCCCGATGTTTTCGTTTAATTCGGTTCATTAATGCCCGAGGGAGGCGGCGAAGCAAAAACGATGGAAGGACGTGGTTTTTCTCGAATCTCTTTGCACGGGGGGCCTGTTGCATCCGAAGAAGGCCTTTTCCATCGACGACATCTCCATGTGGGTTCCATATACGGTTCCGAGGATAAAAACAGGGCTCGGATGTGGGACGAAGGTCGACATTGAACCACCGTACAGAATTTATTCTCGTAGAACCTGGGAATGTTAGCGATCACGCCAGTCATATGCCAAGCAAATATAATAAATACTGAACGAAGACATACTTGCATCGGAACGTCGTTGCATATTTAATGAAACATCTGCTAAATAATTGTCCAAATATTCTCAGTGCAATACTCGAGACACGAAGCTGTCTGAATTATTAAGAAAACAATTGCCTCGGGAAGATTGTATGTTAAAAAAATTATAAAAGATCATCTCGTCTTAAGAATCTTTTCCCATTCGCCTTCCATTAAGTTTGAGGCGTCGCACGGTTCGTTCAGCGTGGGAGTAGGCGATTCACAAGGACGCCCTATGGCGACGAAGGCTATTCCGGTTATTGGAGTAATCGGATTGATCTCTGACTAAAAGTGGCGGCGAGATAGAGCCGGGAATCAATGACACTGACTACCATCGTCGTCGTCGTCCCGGTATCAAAGAAATTGATATTAATGCGAGACTGCCAGGCGTGACGTATTTATCTGGAACGTTTTCGTCGAGGTCCAGTTTAAAACGCGTCTCCACGTAGAACAGATACAGCTGTCGGTATTTATCATCATTAAATCGTGCTGATATAACGACTCTATACGGCGTCTATTAAGATTCACGTAACGCTTGATGAAAATTAATCGTTGAACGTTCATCCACCCCCGACAGTCCGCGAAAATTGTTTCTATCAGAAACTCCGCGTGGTACGCGTAAATTATTCGAGCTCGAGCTGCACTAAGTGCTTTCATTCAATATTTTAATTATAGTTTCTATCATAGTACACGTTCGATCGATATAATTCAGAAGCGTCTGTAAGAATGTCGTCGATATATGATTTTATATATCATTTTTTTCTCTTTTTATTCCGACATACATCAGCGAGTGGCGCGTCGCCGCCGGTTCCTTTGACTGTACACGAATAGCCGGCGTTCCGGTAATAAGGTCAATGAATTTTCTTCAACTCGTACGCTTCGTAAGTCAGACGCGCATAAACTTTAATCTGGGACGGTACGGTCATCTCCTTTGTTGCGGCCAGCCAGAATTTCGCGGAATCAAGATGTCACAAGGGAAGGTTGCCACTCACCGCATGTACATAATCACGTTCAGAAGCTTTTCATTACAGAATCAAAAATTTCGATCTTATCAAAATAGAATTCACGTTGCTTCATATATTCAGTACGTTTTTACAT